AACTAAATGAAAGGAAGCATGTACTCTGTGGACAAGCTAATAATCTACAGCATGCTGCTAAGTCCTCGTGTATTATTTAGCAGAGAATGAGGCCGGGCTACAGTATCTCTTCACTGCTGCTTGCTCTCTAGCCCATGACATATTAAAGAGAACTTAGCATCAGGCAAACCAGCGGCTTTATATGCTGAGTTTGCACTTGCAAAACTAACTCAGAGGACAAGATAAGCAAAGCAAAGCTTAGAAAAGTAAATCTAAAAGCTGTTTGAAAAAGCCCTGCACCTCCCTGCCAGCAATCTGCACGMCGAGTATTTCTTCCAATCTCTCTCTGGGGGGGATTTCTTAAGCGTGCTTTGTTGCAGGAGCCAGGTATGGCTATCAGTCACTCAACAACCCACCAACAAAGGAAGAACCCGGCGTGAGACACAAAATCTGCCTCCCGAGAGCTCGGGGCTGGACAAGACCGAATTAAAAGCTCTCTTTTGCTGAGTCTCACTTTGGAGATAATTACCCACTGATATGAAAAACATTTCCCCTCTTGCCTGTAAGTTCAGAGGGAGTGCACACAATGGCATATTTGGCTGTAATCATAGCAGCCCCACATCTTGAACTGAACCTGTGRGAGCACCGAGCTTATCTGGGGCCCTGCAGAAAGCAGAGGCACAAAATGGAAACAATATAAATCCAAGAGTACTTTGTGTGTCAGGTATACAATACACCTTCTTTTGTTAAATGGTCCAGTACAGCAAATTAGGCAAAATATACATCCTTGTCAACAGATTAATGGTCTTGGAGTAACATGCATGCCTAAGCTATATATTTAAAGGCAGGGGCGGTTCTAGGGGCGGGGCCACAGGGGCAATGGCCCCATCTGAAATCTGATTGGCCCCCTGAAGTGCCCCTGTCCTTTCACTCATCTGTCCTTTGACCAAGAGTGGCTGCAGTTCAACTTCCAAACAGTAGTGGCGCTAATGAGTCAAATAGGAAAGTCCAGCGTGAAGCAAGCTTACACAAATCTATTTCAATTTGAATATTCCTGCAGAAAAATGTATTTTAACTGACAACAACAGCTGGATTTTCTCACATGCTGTGTGTTTCAGAAAGTTTTATTTATTTACAGTAAAAATGCATGTAAAATTGATAAGGAGTATTTACTGTGCAAGCTTTTACAAGTGCCTGAACACGTGTGACTGATTAAATTAATACACCTTTCAAAAATGGGGGATTTGTGTGCAAGCATGTTGAACAAATACTTGGCCCCTTTATGATTACTGTGGCCCCTTGATGGCCTCGTACACTGAAAAATCCTAGATCTGCCACTCTTTAAAATAAAATATTGCAAAGTCGTGAAGAAAAATATAGAAACAAACTTAATACACACAATATTTCTCTGATTTAATAGTCGTGTTTCCATCAACATTTTTATGTGCATTGGAAACGGCAAAATTTGGATAAAATAAAAAGTTTTTACGCTGGCTTGGGGTGGTTTTTGGATTTCCCCCCAAAAGAGTTAATGCCCAAAAGGGGAGATGAACACATGTTTGTCGAAGAGCGAACATTTACCTCACATGATCGATCAGCTGTTCCCATTGTCAGCGTCCCAACATGCCAAGAGATTTGCATTTCTTTCTCTACGTCTCCGGGCAGCATGTACCCTCACCGATACTAGTTGAAATGACAGAACAATTCCAGCTTCCTCAGAGCGACACATTCCAAAAAACTTCTTCTCCCCATTGTCCCGAGATGTGCTAGTTTGCAACCTCTTCTTCCTGTTTGCACAGCCAGCTGCTTGATTTGCTCCAAACCAGTAGATGAAAACATGTCTGATTTGCATTTCTATTTTTTTGTGACATTTTAAAAGTTTGCTCCAAATTTGCATTACGGTTGAATGGAAACATGGCTAAAGTGTCCGTCAATTAAATGTTTGTGAGCAAAGTTTGCTGCTAAATTTGTGACGGGATGCTATCACGTGCATTTGTTTATTTACAGAAATGGATGAAATGACTGAATATGGGTCAACAATGTTGACTTCCATGAAAGAACTGTTTGGGATTGGGTAGTCCAACAGACTTGACATTTATTGAATAAAGTATGCAGATAAAAGTGCTTTGTTTWTGTTGATTGTGGACCCGCATTAGAGTTGAGTATAAATGAAAAACTGGGGGGGAAACTCTTTGGAACCACATTGATATAACTCAAGCTAATCTTTTTTTGGATTTCACACGTTGCATTGAAAGCTGTTAAAGTTTGCTTTGGGGTGAACAGCGTCACATTAACACTTCCACTGCTGGCTCCAGCAGGAGACTGCACATCTGCTTTGCACTGACAGTAAATTCACTCCACTCCCCACCATCCATAAACACACTCCTACAGAACCCACCCAAACACCAGGGT